AAAGATCGCATATAGAAGTGATTGGAGGTAATAATAATACTACTAGTAAAAAAAACAAGTAGAAATACAAGAATAATAAAAGGACAGGCACTCGACCCTTGTCAATCCCTTAGGGACTCGCAACGCATTCGACTAAGTTCGTAACATCGCGTAAGTGACTGCGCTAATATTTAGCCTACACAAAGATTAGCAGAGCCTACCGAAGTACGAGTCAGTGTTTCACGTTTTTAGACCATTCTGGTGTTATTCTTTTGACCCGGAAAAAGGGAAGCTTAGTTTAGTCTTAACAAGGATATAACCAATGACGACTTTCGTATTACAAGGCACTTCTAAACACTCCAATATCCTTGCTTTTGGTTGAATATAATAAGAGAAATTCGAGATAAAGTGGAAAATGAGATGAATTTTATAATAATGGCATAAGTCCACCCAATAATCACGAACCAATCAACGAGGGCAATTCTTGGATTGTTAGAGTCCGACAACCTTACTTTATTTTTATAGATGCGAGTGAAATTGAGGACTTGGATATGATCTACGGAACGGCTGCTCCGATCCGAATGGATAACAAACTAGAGGAAGCGCGCCGACATCACTCGAAACACAAGTGTAAAGGTGAGACGGTAAGAGTGAGGCTACCGTAATCGGTTGCTCACCTCTCTATCAGCACCTGATTTGGAAAATCTTAAGAAAGTGGGCCGTAATAGGACCTGGGGAAATGGACCGATGTATCCATTGATTGGTTTGATTTCTGTTTTTCCACTGATCTGCTCATTTTTGCTAGATTGAAGCGGATTAGTTCGCTTTGAAAAGACGGATTTTCTAGTTCGATTTTTTTTATTTCTAGGATGGTGTTATCGTGGTGGAAATTGCACAGTGGATATCGATGAGGTCACTTATCAGCTTAGGTCAATTAACTGCCAGTGAGTTTATCGCAAGTCTCTCAGCACCTTTTTACAACGCCTTCTGTCTTGGAGAACAATCCTTTTCTTTCCTTTATAATTCTTTTAAAATGGAAGCATAATATGAGTCTTTCAAGTTGTTTGTTTAACACGAAGCCAACGATCGTCAGAGTAGCCTGAATCGTTTGAATCACTTACTGATTAGATAGACTTCTGTTTTTATTATCTTTTTGTCCTTGCCGGTTATTTATGGACTTTTCTTTATCTGCTGTAGTCAAATTTTATTAAAATAACTTAATTTAGTAAAAATTTTTTTACATTTCTACACGACCTGTCATCACATACGCTGTACGGATCGTAATAGTACCACTTCTAGCGTTTGATTCCTTTTCCTCGTACTCATCGTCCACAATGCTCTTCGAACATTTCACGAGTGTGTTTCAGCTAGTGCTTAAGGACTTTATCTTTTTTATGAATGTTGCAGAATGATGGTCGAGTCAGTTTTCCTTACAATCGTCGACATAGCCCGGTCAAGGCGATACTGCGTGGATTGGAGGAGAGCATAGATTCGGAGATCGATCTGCTGCCTTTGTTTTCTGATCGACGGCATCATTAACCACTCCTCTATTCAGTGAAATAGTTCTTACAAAAGAAGAAAAATACAAAGTGATCTATAAAAAAGTTGCGAGATGGAAATTAAACCTGGGAATGAAGATTTTCGACGATCACAACTTTGATCATCTTTGTCACCGATATTCGCCTACAAAATTCTATCAGCTGGAGCCATCAAGATTGAAATCTCCGCTCACCCACATCGTGGACAAAGGAAGCGATCACTTGTTTATAAGAGCTCGAGATACAAGAAAGGTGTACGCAGTGAACCATACTGGGTAAATGTAAAGTAATCTCGTAAATGACAAGCCGGTGCACTTTTTTTCTGAGGGTGACTAGTTGAACGACTAGTTGAATTAGAACTAAAAATCTCGTTAGTGAATGGTTTACCTCCAATGGTTTACCGCGCCTTCACAGCTGGGCAGCTGGGCAGTGTTTTCGGGTGCCGAAATGCGAACTATAACTGAGATTTTCCATGCTTAGAAGTTCAACATTTCTATCTGATACTTGTACCGGAGACCACTGCTATCCTCACATAGGGATGGTCACTAGGTAGCAAGTAGTGACGATCTAGGAAAGACAGCACGGATTTCGAGATTCAAGGAAACGAACTCTCACCTAACCATCGAATTATCGGCAGTAGAATGAAATTTGTGCTGGAACATGTGCGATTGCTCGTGATTCGTGAATCCGAACTGCAATCCGTGTATTCAGTTGAGCACGCATTGAAGGATTTACAGTAAAACATTTGTTTGAAAGCAAAGCCACGAACTAATCAATAGTAGGGTTCCTGCACCTCTTCAAAATTTATTGCTGTTAACTTTTTTCGCTAGGAAAAAAAGTAATCTAGTGACTAATAATCGCAGTTTGGCGCTGAGGTAATAAATCTCTCGATCAATTGTGCCGCATCGAGAGGTCTAATTCTCAAGAGAAAGGACGGTGAAAAGTTTGTCACTAGGATCTTCGAAAACCACTCGGTTTTTCCTGACCTCATTTTCTCCACTCGCGCTGATTCTTTCGAAACAGTGCCTGTGGAATTTGAAGGTGTCTAGTATCTGCGGCGAGTAATAAAGGACAAAAAGTTGAAGCTCTCGTCGTTGAGCAATCCCCGAAGGAAGTGCCATGCATTCGACTTCGTTAAGCATCGTTAGAGGTGATTGAGTGGATATCTGACCTATACAATGAGTCGCTCTGACCTACCTATGTATCGTGTTGGGCTGATATCCTTCCAAACATGTCCCATAACAACTTCCCGAGTCTGCAGAGATGGAGGGCTTGGTGAGCCTTAGGTGCAGGACCGATCCCGTGTGTATTGCAGGGCGCCTCTAACCACTGCGTTACAAGCGTCCGTAGTAGTACAAAGTCAAAATTTTCAGTCTTTCTTTTCGGTCGATTAAATCCAGAAAAGTACGAAACTTCACGTTTTATAGAGGTCCCCACCGTCCGTTTCCTTCTTGTTTTTTTCGGACGGTGAAGAAGTTTCCTTCTCTATGATCCTTTTAAAGTGTTCTGTAATGTTCTTCAGTTTTTCCTATCTACTATATCTCCGTTAGTTGTCAAAGCAACTCGAGGAAGCACTAATAAATTTATCACTGATCGCTAATGCAGAATTAATAAGTTGGACACGTGTTTAAACTGTTGATCTTACACGAGATTGGTAAATAATCTTTAATCGGCTTATGTTTCGATGGCTTCGTCTTCATCTGAGCCGATCATTCGAGTAGATGGTCCTCAATTGTTCGTCTTCTCGATGTGGCATCTTTGCCTCCGTATCGAGTCAGAACTTCCTCAGTGGAGCATCTTTCGAGTGAGGCATATTCGTGCAGTGATGCTCTTTTATAGAGGACGATGGATTCCTATGGCCTACTTTCTATTAACCTCGGCGTTGATCCAATAATTCTTTGTACTCTTGTTGAGTAATGAATTGGACCCGTAGACTCTAGAAATAAAACTCCTGTACCTTGGTCTCTGGCCTCTTGCAACTTGGAACGCTTGGTCCAGAGAATTCGGTAACAGTGATTGAAATACGAGCACTCTAAGACATCAGCTTTTTCGCAACTACGTGTATTACCCCCTATCCACAGCGCAAAACTGTATAATATGCCCCAACGGCAAAGGTGGTGATCGCAGTTAGGGTACGGCGATGATTCCTCAACCAGCGATGCTCTTTTATACAGCACGACTTTTGTCTATGTGACTATCCATTGATAAGAATTCGTTTTTTTAACGGATAATCCAGTCTGCGGCAGTCGGTATTATGTTAGCTGGCAAATAGCGAATAGTAAAATTGCTTGATACTTGATAATTGAACCGTCCGTCCTCACTAGTTTTGCGGGCCCAGCATAGTCTCTATTTTTCGGAGATTTGCTGGCTAAGCCATTGTGGTTCCCTGGAGTCCCGAAGATAGTCTGGACAAAGTCTGCCCCGAGTCGTCACCACGACAGGCAGTCGCAACCCTTGTGGATCAGAGGGTGATTTATCACCATGCGGCTTTGATACTCGGACGGTGATGGATCCTGGTATTGGTTTACTTTTAGCTAGCCTTTCTGATGAAAACGCCGGACTCAGCTTGGGAGACCCTGTCAGGAGGATGGATCCTCCCGCTGTACATCGCAGTCCAACACCCAGGGACACCTCCCAGCCACGATGAGGAGGTAAACCGTTGAGAGGAATAGCAAAATTATTTATCAAAATCATTAGTTTACTTATTTTATCTATGTATTTATTTACGAATTTATTAATTACTGTTCATTGAACTCGTGCAAACTCAACAATTTAAACACATATTCATTATTATACTTCACGGGGTTAAATGACGGTCGGTTTGAAAATTAAAGTTGAACACATTTCCTCGAGAAAAATTCAAAGCTTTCCTTTCAGAAACATGACTCCTTATTTCTGTTGTTTCTGAAGAAAGTGTACCTATGGATAACTTACCGGTCTTGCCGTGGCATAGGTTTGCAAACTGCTAAATGGGGCTCTGGACCAAGGTGCAGAACTCCTCAACTTACTCGACCCTCGTTGAAGCTGCATTCCCACTGTACATCTCAGTTCACCATCCAGCTATATGAAATTCCTTCATGAAATGGAAATAAATTCAGTCACTATGTGTTACATCGAAAGTTCAACTGAATATCTTCATCTTCGTATGGAAATCTGTTAGGAGAAATCGTAGCTCATGCGTCGAGGAAAGCTGGAACAAATCGACTGAAATAATAACTGAGCCAACATCAATGGACTCACAAGTGGATCCTCTACTTAACGTAATGCTACCTAATTTTGTGCGCGTTGCGATATCTTAGAAATGCTTGAAGACCCACATAAGAGCTGTTACCTTGACAGAAATCCTACAAATGCTAGTAGTGCTTAGTACCATGAAGTATATGTATGACCAATCATCAAGTGCAGCTTAGTCTTGACCTTCATCCCGCCTAGCCACAGTTACTGCATAAAGCTATCAAATTGCCTCTTTCATGTATAATCCGTATGCTTTCTGGACCACGATTTTGCTCTAAAAACCGCTTATTAGATATAAAAGAGCAGCTTCCTTCGAATTTCAAACATTTTAAAGTCTTATCACTAACGAATCACAAGGAAAACCTTAGCTTCTAAGCATTCTTACTAATGTTTTACATGGGAAAACGTAGGAACGACTAATAACTGGGAAGTTCTCATCGTTGATTTACGTTTTTATTGTGTTTCTAGTGTGAGAGATTAGTTTGAATTCCAGCTGCCCTCCTGGTTACTGGGGTAGACGCTGTGAGTTGCACTTCGTGGCTCGACTATTCGCACCGGTCAAAGGTCAGGTCGAAGTGGAAAAGTCACGTGTTTCGGCATTCGCATTTATCATACTCATGCTGATCGTCACCATCGGGCTCATTTTCTATACGTACAGGAAGTAAGCCATATTTCTCAACGCTCTCACTTTTTCCTTCTTGTCCATTATCATACTTCGTTATAATATTAGATGGTGTGGAATTAGTGGTTACCTCGTTCCGCTCTGTCATGCAGAATGTAGGTTGCCGATTCTGGGAAAGAATCATCTTTAGAACATCTTAAGTTCTGTTGCTGAACTTCTGAACTAGTCTTGTGACACTTATATATAGCCTATGCTCACTACGTTGGCGCATGTAGGGTATTGTTTAGAAATGCCGCGTAGGTCAGAGTAGGTCGTTGGTTCGATTTCGCTGCACGAGTTGACCAATCCTCCCATCTCTCTCAACTTGGCGATTTGTTACATCGATGAGCGATCACAATCCATGTATACACTTAATACGAGTCAATCGCTGCTGCGATGAATGGAATTCAATGCAAAAGGCATGTATAGGGGGCTGATCAATACTGTGTCTTTATCTTTGGCAGTCCTTATAAAAGTGTGGCCTTCATACCATTTTATTTCAATGGGCATGTGCATGAAACAAATGCGAATTCGCACAAGGAAATGTATAAAATTAACTATAGCGGTCTTTTTGCACTTTTCGAAGAAATACTATAAAAGCTTAATAATAGGGAAAACAATACCGTGATTAGAATCGATCGATAGAGAAACTAGCTGAGAGGCAGGCGAAACGAAGGACCCACATGATGTGGTGGTGAACGCGTTATTCTCCGGAAAGGACAATAGCGCGTTCGTTCCCCACCGCAGACACCTGCAGTCCGGAGTTTTGCAAATATCTCAGCATCGCTCTGGTTGTATTTAGCCATGAAAAATTGTAGTAGGCAGCAAATAAAAAATAAGCAATACCATGATTGAAATCCCGTTTTGCTTCACATATGGCACGAAGTCTGGTCAACATCGGGCCTTTCAGGATAGTGCGTCGAAACGCCCCGTTTGACTCAACTACAGTTCTTTCGCTAAACCATCATCTACGACGTCAAACTATGTCATTCCAAACGCTACCAGCTGCGGTCAACACCACACCCAGTAGCAGTGCTGCGTACTTGAATCGTTACAGCGCCTCACAGTACTTCAATTGTCGTACACCGTTTTCACCACTTTCACGAAGGTATGTGTGGAGAAAAAGTGGTAGTAAATTCATACGCTGTTGATGGCTTGTCCTAATTCTGACCTTGTAACAGATATTCGACATCTCAGCAAATGAGCAGTTGTAAAGTTGAACGAGACATAGTATTTCACTCTGCCCATAGCCTCATCTTCAGCTTCATTCTTCAATGGAATCGGTCAAATCGAAGAGTCCATTTCCATTTAGAAATCCAACGAAGTATACCTATTTTAGTACTCGCAACTTCGCTGCAAGAACTTTATCACATATCGGTAAAACTTCTCACATAGGCCAGCGATTGCCTGGAATTACAACTTGGGAGCGCTGTAGCACGACTGTGTTTCAGGACTCTATCTAGAAAAACTTATCCTACTAATTGTGTCCCATTCAAATCGAAGTTGCCTTTGAGCCGCCCGATTTGTGAATACAGGTCGTGCGTTTACGAAGTATCCTAGTAGGCCTTTACTAACAGCCATGTGGTCTTGGACTCTGTAATATTCAACACTTCTCCTACAGAAGGTGGAAAAAAACTCAAAAAGTTGCTAAATAGTAGATAAGAAAAATTGAAGTCAAAGTGTTTAGATGAGATAAATTTGTTTACGGAATGATTCCGTACAGACGGTAGACAGTTCCCAATCATAAGATACTTTTGAGCATAAAGTGACCGTAGCAATCTTAGTTTGTGAAAGAGATCATTCTGAGGTTATAATTTATAGCTACGGCCAGTTGACGGGGAATTCTCACCAATCGGTTTACAATCTGACTCCGTCACTTACTATGGCATTCGGTAGACTTTCAGCCAGTTCAAGTCGTCTCCATCAAAATCTTGACGGGCGACCATTCAAATTCATGGGAAGAACGGTGAGACTTTGTACATTGTTTTACTCGAAAAAAGAAAACAACTATCTGTTATACGGCAATAATAATATGAAATGTTTGAATATATTTTATAATTTTTTATATAATTTATTTTCGGCCACACGCGCCCTACGAACATAGATAATAGCTCTGTTTAATTCTACCAATATATGGTGTCTCGATAGGGTTGAATTCTGCTGGTTTCTTTATTTACACCTTTTCCTACCCTCCTTCGTTCTTGGTGAATAACTTTGCTTTACTTTTTCTCATATTTTTGGTATTTACTTCAATATCCTGGAAAAGGGCGCGTGTGACGTAGTGGTCGGAGCCGCCCCGCAGTACACATGGGATCGATTCCCGCGCCGCTGGCCCATCAAGACTTTCATCCCTCCGAGTTCCGCAAATTGGTACCAGACTTGTCTGGGAGGATAACAGCACTGGCTTGATATATCGGTAAGCCACCGCGAGTCATTGTGAAGGCCAGATATCCATTCAATCACCTCCATACGATGCTTAGTGAAGTCAAACGCATGGCGCAATCTTTATGGACTGATGAACGCCGAGAGCTTTATTTGCGCTTATGTTATTTACTGATACTTGAGAGGTAAGAAACTCAAACGTAAAGTGAACTTTGGGAATCTCTGTACTAAGTAAGTAGATTCAAGTACAGTCTGAGATACACTCTTCTCTAAAAAATGACATTTAGAGCAGTTGTACAACACATCCCATGAATGATACAGCTTCGTCGCCGACTGATAATCAGGTGAGCTACAGCTTTTGTCTATTTGACATTTCACGGAGAAAACAAACCTGCTGAACTATGTTTGCTTTAAAATTAGGTGAATTATTATTCCGAAGTATCTACGGCTTAAAAATTCCAACTGCTCAATCTTGTTCCTCCAGGAAGTATTTTCTCTGCACGTGATGGTGAATAGGACTTCACTTCCCGTCCTATACTCCGTAATTTGGTTGATCGTTCGTAATTATTCGAGCATTCGACTCACGCTAATGATGGGAAAACGTTTCGAATATACATATGAGTATATGGAGTACTTAGCTGGATTCAACACAGTTTCTACCCCTCTCGATCTTTCATGACCGACATTCATGTTTGTGGTATGTTTCGTGCATAGTGACGTCTACAAGTTCGTTTTCTAGATGATATCTAGGAACTGGTTAGCATAGAAGGCAACAGATGTACTACGCAACTGAGATAACAAAAATTTCAAGAAAGGACCTCTTCTAAACGGGTAGTGATTATTTAGCACCAATTAGTTCGCGTATTGTAGTTACTTCTTTTTTCTTGAACATGTGTAGAACTATCGAAGCAATATGTATTCTTTCTTGATAAGCTTGCACGAGATTGATAAATATATTTATTTTCGGCTAACGTTTCGACGTCTTCGTCTTCCTCAGAGCCGGTGATCCGAGTCGATGGTCCATGCTTGCTGTTCGTCTCGACGTTGCAGCTTCGCCTTCGTGTCGAGTCAGGTGTTCCTCAGTGATCCATCTTCTCGAATGAGGCATCCTCACTCAGTGATACCCTTTTATACGCGATGCTGATGGTTGATGTAATGATAATGTCTGGTGATAACAACTTGTTTTTCCTCCAGACATACATCATTGCGCACATCGTTAGTCACACCGAGGTTTAGGGAGGGTCGGTTTTGAAATATCGAAGCAATTTTAGAGTGTGCGTCGCGCCTAGGTGCTCGTGAAGTTTGACGTCTATTTAGAATTATCGATGTTGTAGGATTAAAACGTGAGTTGGACTGTACGGCAAATCGTGAGAATGTTATTTTACGCCAACAACCTTCATAGCTGAGAGCCTCTCGTCACTTGTTAGATGCTAAAGCTGACTTCCTAATGATTGTGAAAGAACTTCTTTGCTATGGCCTCGTTCTAGCGACATCACAGTTCATCAGTACGGACAGCTAGTGGCCAGAGGATAACTGTACTATGAAGAATGATTATTTTTCAGGACCAAGGTGATATCTAACATATTCGTTTTTCTCTGGTAAACTTTCGTTCGAAGACGTTGAACTCAGTCACACGATTGTTCTTTTATGAGGAACTCGGTTACATGTTACAGTCTCATACTCTGGAAAGAAATCTCATAACAGTGAAGCATTGCACTACCGGGTTATTCAAGTATTCGGGAGATAAACAAATTGTTCATAGTTAATTGGAGTTCGTTCTAGTCTCATGGCTTTTCGTTGTTATCATCGGAGAGACAATGTTATTCAACTGAGTCAGATACTTATTACAAGTACAGTTCTGCAAAGAAACGAATAGCACAGTGGTAGCGATGCCATTCATCATCAATCAAACGAACCCGCCCTGGGCACATCGAGCTTTCCATCTCTCCGGGCCGAGAAATTGGTACCAAAGTTGTCCAGGATCAGTCCAGTTCCTCTACTCCACTTGAAAACACTCTTGCGCGACTACCCCAGGAGTGCAGGAAGAATCAACTCGAACAGCATTCAACGACATTCATAAAGAAGAAAAAAGTACTTAAGCAGTAGCCGAACCTACAAGTAAAAAGTTCGGAGAGCTACGCGGACGATAAATGCGAGGAATCGAATCGAATGGATGAAATACTGAGGTAGGCACAGTATATGTGGAGAGAGGTAGTGTTAAATAAAATATATAAAGTGGACGGTTCTTCGACCACTGGAGCGCTGGCAACACTGTGGTTAGACCTATCCTGCAACACACATACATGATCACTGGTTCGCTCTCCCCGAGAAGGGTAAAAGTATCGAGCTTATAAGTCAGTAGGACTCCCACAAGTTAATTAACCATATATGATACTTTCGGGTGCGTATGGCGCAGTGATCGGAGGCACCCTACAACACACACGTGGAATCGGTCTGCGTGCCCATGGCCCACCAAGCCTTTCATCCCTCCGGGGTCGGCAAATTGGTACCAGATTTGTGTGAGAGGATAGCAGCACTGGCTCGATACATTGGTAGGCCACCGCGAGTCACTGTAAGGGCCAAATATGCATTCAATCACTTCTAAACAATGGTTAATGAAGTCGATCGCACGGCGCATCGGGATTGATCAAGGCCGAGAGCTTCATCCTTTATTTATATGATACTTAGTGAAGTCGAGTGCCTGGCGCATTTTTAGGCGGAAAATTATCGTCAACTAGCTGTTTTATTCAGTGTCATTCTAACAGTTGAGTAACTTATTTTCAGTCCGTGTACTATACTGCAATAAACACAATGATTGCTGATCAACCGTTGGCCGATGTCGATAGTCGACACGATGATCAGCGACCTTCGGTTCTTGTGCAGGCATCTGTTTATGTTCATGAAGAGACGTCACAATAACTTTTACAAACAGTTGCACTAATAACGTTTTCCTCACCTTGCCGATCGTCTAGCAATTGCTGACACTGTTTTATGCTCCATAAACGAACACCTTAAACTCATAAACTTTTTGTTTCATTTATCAACTAAAGGTGTTCTTATGCCATCTCGTGCCTACGCTATCACTGCTCATTCTTCACTTATCCCAACATCGACCATACTGTGCTAATGTGTATTCTTCTGTGATTATAGCAATATCGTGAAATAAGCGGGTGAGTATGTGTGTGTTCAAATAAATTGTATACTACTGTTGATCCAGTAAGAAGTTATGTATTTGTATCATTCTTCCGATTAACACTACCTCAGAGGTGTGCTGTATAACAAAAATAAACTTTACATCGGAATCTATACGAAACACTGGAAACTGAAGCGTTCGCATTAAACTGTAACGTACATTGACCGACTCGGCTTTAGTGATCGCTCCCGAGCGGTTTACTAATCCCTGGATTCGCTATCACCAAAAGAATCACTGCTCTCCTGGAAGAAACCTCGTCACAAGGCAATAAAGCTCCTTTCGGTTCACATAGGCGAAAACTGCCTTTGGTGACAATTAGGCAATGGGTTTCTGTTTTCCGTCCATCACGACTATTTCGTGCTGATAGAGAAAATCTAGTTCGTTCAACGCTTAGCATGTCAGTGAGAAGAGAAGACCATCAAGCCCGTTCATCCGAAGCCATACATGAGGTCCACTACTTACGTCGATGACAGTTGCAAGATAATGAAACGAAAAGAAAGATGCTGTGATTCCTACGAAATATGAAAACAAGAAACCTGAAAATTTGAAACGACATTGTTTTAGTAGCTAACTATG